TGGGGGGGGGGTTGTAGTTTATGGGGGAGGGGAAATGTAGTATTTCCTGTGAACAGATGGGTCAGGTCATTACTATATTTATCTAAAATGATTGTCATTTGCTGTGACGTTCACATCAGTGCTCCTTTTGCTGTTCCATATTTCAGATGCACAGCGGACTTCCTGTCCAGTTATTTCATGGAAGGTTAAAGCCTTCCTTTTAAAGTGGAACCCCGGCTTTTAGGTTTGGGGGTACGCTGCATGTTAGTTCCTTGTTCAGGGGCTTATTTCAGTCTCCGTTGGCAGTATTTTCACTCACTTCCTGTCTGGTGATTGTGGTAAGCCAATGAGTTCAGCTTCTAGGGATCGCTTTAGGTGGTGACACTGTGTCCAGAAATGGCCACTTGTAGTCTCCTTAGAAAGCACATGTGACAGTTGTCACCCTATAACAGGATGTGCCTGAACCAGGACTGAATGTCCATTGTTGCTGTCTGATCACTGGGGGAGGGGAGACTGAGGAAATGCTTCCTCCTGCCTGCAGCAGACCGATCACTGGGGGAGGGGAGACTGAGGAAATGTTTCCTCCTGCCTGCAGCAGACTGATGACATCTCAGCCTAGGCAATGTCACTGGAGATTTATACCTTTTGCTGTATATTGTGATATGTGAGGATTTCATTCAGACTTGTTAGGTAATGACAGGTTCTCTTTCAGTTTATATCTCCTTTTAAAGTGACTTTGTCATGAAAGGGGGAGGGGGGCGGCCATTGGGAATGTCTGTGTCCCGTCGGTCCAGTGCTGTCCGAGTCTCTGTCCCGGAAGTTCAGAGATGAGGAAATGTGACATCATCAGTCCAGCAATGGCGGCCCCCTCTCCTCTCTCATGACAGGGTCACTTTAAGACATCTCTCTGTATCAGCCTGACATGTGACAAGCAACATTTTGTTACATTGTTGCGGGTTCGGTGTTGGGGGGGTCGGTATTTCGCGGATCGGTGTTGGGGGGTCGGTGTTGCGGGGTCAGTGTCGCTGTGGGGTCGGTTTTGGGGGGTCAGTGTTCCAGGGTCGGTGTCGGTGATCAATCTGCTGTGAAATAACCAGTTTGGGGCTCCGGTTAGTGAATGGCGCGGCGGGGAAGTGGCGCAGTTTGCGCAGTGACTGGATTCGCCTCGCGTGACCCGGCAGACGCAGCGGGGAGAGGAGAGCGCTCCTCATGCACGCTACAGTGCCGCCTCTGTGCCTGACGCCCCGGGGCCATTTCTAGTGGAGGAGCGGCGCTGTCACTGCGCATTACATGAGACGCACGGCGCCGTGACCAGGAGGCGCCACGAGGACAGCCGGTCACGTCTGAGCCTGGAATTCCGTCTGCTCCCAGCCGGATAGAAGCGCGGTGTGAAGGGTTAATCTTGGGGTGGGGGGTTGCTGCCCCCATATGGTCGGAGCCATGTTGTCTGCAGACCGCCCGCGGCGTTGTTATAGGGGGAACTCTAACACGTCTTCAGCCAGCCAATGTCCTGAGCCGTAGGCGTCATGTGATTATCACATTTTACACGTTTATATTTTCATGACCTGCTTCTATATTCTGATCTATAAATTCTTCTCCTGGAGTCTTCAACACTGAGTGTGCCTTATCCTTTCTTCTTACTTCCGCTGAGATAAAATCAACTACATGAAAAGTCTGTTGGTTTTCCGTCCCCTAGAGTGTAAGAGTAAAGTACAGTCACTGTGCCGAGCGGCTGAACAGGAGGCGGATGGGAGGCGGAGGGCGGATGGGAGGCGGAGGGCGGACTGGATTCCCCGCTCCGATCCTCCAGCGCTGACGGCCGGAACGGACGGGGGAGGGTACAGCTGGCTCCGCCTCTAGATAGGCAGAGCCAGCTGTCACTCACGCAGCTGGGCGGATCCAGACATAATTGTCGGGATCCGCTCCGGCTGCGGCGTCTCGGTATACCGCGAGCTGTAGCTCCCTATATACTGAGCCTAGGGTGAAGGGAGGACGCTAGTTTGTGTCCTCCCGTTACCCTGAGGAGAACTATAGGGCCATAAGAGGGCGGAGCCAACCCAATACTGAACCCTACGGACTAAGACTGGGAGGCCATTAATGCTTGTGTGTGTAAAGGCCTCCCAATACTAATGGTAATATAGTGTATATATATATTTTCTACCTTTTTAGTTTTCTATGGGACTTTGTCATGTAATTTTCGGTATTATTTATACCTATTTACTAACATTTTTATAGAAGGATCTTTTATTTTCCACCAGGTGACTGTAATTTCCAAGTCTCATTGGACTAGAAATAACTGTCACCCTGGTGTGTCAGCTCTGAGACCTCTATGTTCTGTGATGTGAATGGTGACTGCAAGTGCAGTGGCGCAGCACATTAGGGGGTCACGTGATCTCCATTGCGGTGCGCTGTGACTGCGGCTCGCCTGTTTTTGGTCTGCGCTGGTTTTTAAATGGAGGAAGTAAAACCCATGTTACAGGATAATGAATGTCGCCGTCTCCCTTCTGTGATGGTAAACTTGTTGTCACGTCTGTTCTCTTCCAGGCTGACGGAGCCCTCAGGATTCCTCACCGACGGACCAATCAACTACAAGTACAAGACGAAGTGCACGTGGCTGATCGAGGGGTAGTGAGTATCTGACGACCGTTCTTTACGAGAAGCACCCAAAATGTAATATTCCGGGTTTTGGGCAGAGTGTTGAATCGCAAACTCTTCATCTGAATGTTTTGTTGGGAGAATCTAACAAGCAGAAACTAAAAAGCCAAAAAAGGGACCGCCCCCTAAGCCAGGAGTGGGCAAACCCCGCCCTCCAGCGTTCGTGAAACTACAATTCCCATGATGCATCTTGCTCTGGGAGTCATGTCTGTGGCTGATAGTCATGCAGTGTAGTTTCTCAACAGCTGGAGGGCCAGTGATTGCCTAACTTCCTTAAGTTTAAGGTCCCTTCCCTGCAGCTCCAAACCCCCGCCCCGGAAGAGTCTCCAGCAATTACCAAGAATAAGGCTGATACATTTTGAGCTTTAATTGTAACAAGATATAACGCACATGTGTGTTTTCTTTTTTTGTCAGTGTAGCTCCTCTTACCTGCACACATGGCCTCGTCTGCCGCCGGACCGGCCAGAAGTGACGCCACTTCCGGCCAGCCCGACATCAGACGAGCAGCGTCGCTGATGGGGCCCCAGCTTGTCTCGAAGACGCTGGAGCGGCAATGCTGGGGCCCTGCGCTGCTAGGGCCAGGCCTCCGCCTCCTCGCCCTTCACTGTCGACCGATAGTCATGTAAGGCTGCCGGGGCCCCTTACATGAGTATCGGCCGTACCCCCCTGATGGCTGCCCTGCACATGAGTACCATAAAGATCCTTATCCCGGTGCTGAAGTTTTGTGAATTGGACATTCAAAGGACTTTACAAAGTAAACACCCCAGGAGATAAGAAACACAGAAGAGTGACGGCAGATAAATGTCCAACAAGACTTCTCCCCTTTTTTGGTGTTTTTTTTGGTCTAAATGTTAATTAAATATCAGGATTCTTCTTTTTAAGTGACAGTTATTTTTAGCTGAAAAAGGAGATGTGAAAATGACAAGTGTTGCCAGATATTGGACACTCTCTATGGTGGCCCCTCTTCCCCATGTGATGGTGCTGGGGTCTAGCGATTGGCTGCTCAG